AGATATGAAGAGGAAAGCTAACAAAAAATTTAAGTTTCTGTTTTCATATACATCAACTGCATATGCCTGCTTCATGAAGATTCGGTGTACATTGCTAGCATGTGTTTTTTTTAAATACCTTTAGAAAGGTGGAAATGTGCTTTAAGTTTCATAGTTAAGGGTCAAAGAAGGGGTAGGTCCAGTGTTATGGGTTAATTATGGAGTAAGGTAAGTTAATCTAACTATGAAAATGAATCTTTTCACTTAAAGTGACATTAAAGGCTATTTTTTTTCCTTCCCCCCATGTTAATGTTAGCACTTACCTTAAATGATGTCTCTTAATCCGATCTTCCTCTTCTTTCCTGATGTTTTCATCTGTCCCCCCAGCGGTGCGGCGGCTCTCCGATCCAGCGGTGACTCCTCTCTGCTTGCAGGCACTTCCGATCCAGCGGTGTCTGCACAATGGTGCACGCGTCCATAGACTTACCTTGCGTCTCTGCTCGTCTCCCGGCCGAGAATCCGAACTGTGCATGCACCCGCCCCTAGATGCTTTGCAGACGCCCGAGCAGTTTCACTTTCTGGACGGGAGCACGCAGCAAAAACAAGGTAAGTTTAAACCGTTGTTAACGCGTTTTTTGTTTAAAAAAAAAACTTTTTGCCTATATCTACTGCTTGATAGCAGTAGATATAGGCAAAAAACAGAGGGTTTGGAACCCTTTTAAGGTGTATCTCCACTCTCACAGACAAATTTGAGAAAATTCCATGATATATTTGTTATGTGTTCCTATTCACACAGCACACCTAAAAATATGTATTTTTAAAAAGTATTTCTTACCTTTTAGCTGTTTCTTTGGAGGAGGACTTCAGCCAGACTGTAGGCCATGGTGAATAGTTTGTGAGTCTGTACCCGAGACAAAGGGGGACAAACTGCATTTCCTCTCATTAACATACAATGCCTTCATATATTTACACCTTTGTTCAAGTTCTAGTTTGCAACTGGTAATGAGATCTGCCAGCAAATTACAGACAGGGTAATTTTGGTAAATGTTAATTCCCTACCCAGCTCCAGCACCCTCCCTAAAATTAAAGATAATGGAACAATTTCAGTTTTGGAGTTTTCAGAAAAAGAGGTAGTAACAATTTCTAATATTTGTTTATGTTATGCAATGTGAATGAGAACAAGTATGAGGCAAGCGTTATCCCAATTTGGCTACAAAAGTGAGAATACACTTTAAAGAGGTTCTGGCACTTTTCCCATTCATACTACAGAATGTCACTTGACAGCTTTGAGTCTGCTGACATCACATCCATGATGGTGGTGCCCACCTACAATCAAGACCATGGTTTCTCATATGGCAAGTTCAATTGTTAACTCAAATGTTAACTTAAAATGACTGTTGTGCCAATGAAAATACTGAATTTCTGCAATCAAAGCTGAGGAATTTTTTTGCAGGTGACTGCTAATGACTGACAATATCAATTGTTCAAGCCCTACAGTGTGTTTTTAGCATTAGCAATGCTTGGATTAATCACCCAGTGCACTCGTCGGACACCCTTCCCGCCGTGTACTGCCCATTTGTAGCTTAGACTGAACAAGCAGATGGCATTGTTCTGTTTTCAATTTGTATCGTTCACTTTGCTAGCAAAAATCAAAAAGCTTATAGCCAGGCCTAGGCTGTCTAAATTCTGAGCAACATAACCATACGCTGTGCGACAAGCTAAATATCCAAGCTACAGTGGACACACACTTTAAATATATCTATCTATATATATAGATAGATAGATATATATAGATCTATATATATATATAGATCTATATATATAGAGATCTATATATATATAGATATATATAGTGTATATATACACACACATACCTAAAAACTTAATATGACTTATTATACTTTGCTACATTGTCATAAATAACTCTATCAATAAAATCTATATGAGATTATACTTTCCACAACTTTCAATTAATTTCTGCACAGCGTAATTAAATATATATATATATCCATATTTATTTTATTTCTTTAGATACAAGTAAGTGGTAATTGTTCATTAAGCCCCTATGTAGGAATGTGTGATTACACAGTGCAAACAGATATGATGATGATGATGATATGCGGTAATCCATGGCATTCAGGCAACAGGACTGCAGCGGTTTGTAAACCCAGCTTTTCTAGCATACAGGTTTCCAATTTTATATGTCTAAAAAAATAAGATACATATAATCTTCCAGCCATGGCAAGTTCACATCACTGTCTCAGGTTCAGCTGATATCTTTTTTTGTTCTCTTTTATATTGTGATCCTTCATCTCGAAATACAGCCTGAAAAATAGCCAGGAGTGTTAATTTTCCACCGTGCGTGCCTCTGCGACCAACAAGGAAGTATACAAATGGATTTATAGCACTGTTGATAGAGCAGAACAAAGAAAATAAATCCATGATGGGGAACGGTGGCATAATATGGTGTTTGTACCATGCTAGTAGTAAGATTCTCATAGGCATTCCAAACACAAGAAAGAAAACAACTGTCACTGTGATGACCACATATAACTTCCTCGGCTGTCGTTGCTGAGAACTTTTCCATACTTTTAAAAGCAGAATCACACTTGATACTGTCATTGATGGAATGAAGATCATGAAGCTAAAGCAACAGATAATAATAAAGACAAATTTACATTCTGCACCAGATCCCTCTACTAGGCCTGTTTGGTTGTATGTAACATTGTAACAAAAAGCTACCTCAAGAGCACTAAGCAGACAAGACATGACCCATATAAAAGTGCACACAGCAGAAGATAGATGTTTTGGTCTGTTGCAGTGATACCATATAGGAAACAGGACAGACAGACATCTTTCAATACTGATAGTTGTAAGAAGGCATAAGCTGGTATTGTATCCAAATATGCAAGCTAGGATAAGTGTGTCAATCACATTGATAAAATGAACATCTTCATAGTGAGCTTCTAACCCTGGGGCTAGGGTGAAAACCATAGCAATAAAAGTCAATACAATGACAAAAAGCAGAAGGGCAGCATCAGCCATGGCAAGGTTAAAAATATATACTGTAGAAGTGTTCCTCTTTATCTTAAAAGAGAGGTACCAAACTACTAAGCTGTTTCCACACATGCCAATTATTGATATTATGATAGTTATGGGTGAGAGCACCATATTAAACACCGGTTTGAACAGCATGGTATGATTATTCCAGTACATTGTCTGTGTTAAGGTAGGTTGGTTGGTCATATTTTCTGGACCCATAGGAATGTACAGCAAGGAAATGGTGTGATCAGTTTGTCTCAGTGTTTTACGTGTCAGCGGTATTGCTAATGATCGCAGATGCATGGATCCAACATCTTGCCCGCAATGATGCACTTTAGTTGTTTAGCTGGAGTCATACTTGGAGTCCAGAAAATTTGCTTCATCTAGATGAGGAAAGTTTTTATTGGTGGTGGTAGAGCATATTCTTCTGTGGTCACTCTCAGCATTGTTTTTCATAGGCTGTGAAAGAAAAGTAGTATCATAATGAATCCAAAAAAGTGCAAACAGTAAACTAAGTAGAATATTTAAGTACTGTGGGAATTCGCTGTAAATAGCTACAATGGCAACAATGAAAGTATATATCCAGACATGACTCCCACCAACATACCTCCCTTTTCCACTCTAGAGTATGTCCTAGAATTTTTTTCACCTGTTATGACTCTCTGTGACTTTGTAACCAGGCTTGTAAAGTTCTTCCATTAGTAGCTCCTGAGAGCTCAGTTCCCATTGATTTAGGTACACCCCCAGAACTACACCTCATAAGAGCCCTTTCCCTTATGCAACCTGTGTGGGCAGACTCTCTGGGAGCAAGGCATTAGCATCGCTTGCCAATTAAAGAAATCAGTGTATTCATGTGAAGTATGACAGAGAGTGGAGGGAATAGGTAGACTTCTGTAGTCCAGCAGTCAGGGCTGATAGTGATGGTTGGGATTTCAGTGCAGCAAATGCACTATGTTGTTATCCCAATTAGGATTTCTGGCAAATAAGCAGTTATTTATCTGTGCATTTTTAAAACATTGGGGAAAAGAGCATTTGTTGGATATATGGATATATAGATTATATATATACATGTTTTTCTTTATTTTGCCCTGGCATACACTTTAAAGGAGAGGCATGGCATACCATTTACTAAATATGCATTGTGAATAGCTATTAACCTGTTTCTACTTTTTGCTTTTAAATGATCTTTTAGTAGTCGAAGATATTCTCCATAAATTGTTGTGCCTGAAGCAGGACATTTGCTTCTGTGTGTAGTGGATGTAAGTATTCAAGAAACACTAAGCCGTTTAATCCATCAGCTCCCTCCTCACTTATTCCATAGAAAGCTCTAATTAGAATTCTGCACATGTAGAGAAATTCATTTTAAACTTAGCAAAGACAAATGTAAGTGTAACATTGCACAAAAACCAACCAAGATTAAAAATATAATTTTTTTTGGTAGCAGTTCATTATCACTGTCACCGAGTCGAATGCTGCACTTGACTGAGAAAGCTGCACAACATTTTATTCAGCCTGCCTGTATATTACTGTTGTGTGTGCATACTAAAGTTTTTGCACTAGTGATCCACTACTCTACAGAATTGTGAAAAGCTACTTGCTCTCTTTAGTATTCCATTTTTTTGAAAGTCTGTTGATATTAGTTGCTCTTTCTTTTTCAGAAGCAGGAACACTATGAAAGTTCTCTTAGGTATGGGGAGGTTGACCTTACAGATATGACTCCACATTGCTCAAACAGGCAAATAGACATGTAAATTTTGTTTTGTTACGATTGCAAATTCAGATGCAATTTCGTGAATTCGGACATTTGGATGCGTCGGAATTCCAATGAGGCCGAATGCAAACTAATCCAAATGTTCTTTTAACAAAATTTTGGATCATCTGGATTTCATTCAAAATTAAACTAAATCGGACACGTGACTAAAATGAATTTCTGAAAGATCCGAATCCAAATAACAAAACAAAACGGCGTTCAGACCTGAAACTAGGAAACCCGAAAGAATGATAAAATCCCAAACAAAACCAATTTTGTATATGTCTACAGGCGAGCATACATGTTTGTGTCTATAGACCAGATGTGAACAGACTACTGTAAGAAGAAAAATAGAATTTGTCTAATTGATCAAATCTCCAAGACAATGGTTGGCTACTGCTGTCTATAGGTGCCATATGCATGAGATGGTTGCCTATTTCAGCTTAAGAGGTCAGATCACCTGCACACAAAAACATGCAGCTCCAGAATGCTCTGCTCTACTGGTCAATGAGTAGGATGTAATTATTCTTACCTACACTGATTTTTCCACTTCTGGTCACTGACCTCTTTAGGACATTACTGGTCATGTTTTTGCTGGACTTGGCCATACAGTGCAATGGCTGTATCCAAAATAACTACCTGTGATTCTCTACCGTTAGGCCTGCTGTATGTGCAACTTTTCAGGGGAGCACCGGTAATGTCGCAGCCTGTAAACTGGACTTGGCCATACAGTGCAATGGCTGTATCCAAAATAACTACCTGTGATTCTCTACCGTTAGGCCTGCTGTATGTGCAACTTTTCAGGGGAGCACCGGTAATGTCGCAGCCTGTAAACAACAGTGACAGATAAACTGAGGGTTGTGAATTTTTACATTCTCCTGAATATATATGTACAGATTTATCCAATCTGTAGACAATCATACAATGGATGATTCTAATGCTGGCCTGGATTCCCACATTTAGGGATTCTTCTTGGATCAGACAGATATACAGGCAAACGATTTTAAAAAATCTGAATCGGTAATTAACTCACACCTGGTATACATTGTTCAGCTAGAGGTAGCTTTTTCCATATAAACATATTTACTGCTGTGTGATGAAATGTAAAAAAAAATATTGACGGGTCCCTGCCTTAAGTTGGAGTATCCCCAGCTAAATTTAGAGTTGTTTGCTTCTAGGTTGTAGGCAGCCTGAGCTATGTTTATATTTTCTGTGTTCATTGGGATTTGTTTTAAGATCAAGACATTAATTTTTTTTCTGCCTGCTGCTACTGAGTTGTCTCCACTAGTTACTGTGAGAAGCAACAACGTATTGAGCTATGAATATTTATCTACCTTGGCCAGTCAATGAGGGTTTAATTCCAGTGATGTGAGCTGAGAAGAGTGGCCAAATATTTGGAGGATTATTCTGGAATGGTCTTTGTTAATCAAGTCCATCTAAATCTGCTAGTGTTGGCCAGGTTACCAGCTGAAAGTATAGGGAAAAAAGCCCAATAAAAGAAAATGCAGCCATTTAAGGAATGGTAAGCTGCAATATATATATAATATTTCAGGGGTTTAGATATACTTTATAGGATTTACTTGTAACTAGGTTGCTGCTACTGAAACATTAGCGCCACTATCAACTGTGAAATTATTGAGAGGCTGCCACTCAAAAAATTAGAGCTACCATCCATTTTTGTTGCTTATATAAGAAGGCCTTGGATATTTTGCTGTTTGTGGGTACTCTGTACCCATAATCCTCTCTTCACCCCTAATCCTCTCTTCACATGTGTATTAAGTAAATAAAATATAAAAAGACTAAAGGGAAGGAAGCCTAATTATCGCCGTTGGTATATTGTCGAGTCCAGCTATAGGGAGGGTTACCACTGAGAGCAGCAGGGGAACCCATCATAAACCAGCAGCTTCTCTGGGGATAGTGTAACAATAATATGCAACCTCTTGAATACTTCAGATTATACATAAGAGCTCCCATGATGCATATCAGTTCAAACTATTTTTGAAAGTTGTTCAATTGTTAAAATACAAGATTAGTACGTCTGTCTGTCCCATTCACTCATTGCCATGTGTTGACCTGCATTTCGTATGAGTTTTTGTGTGTATTTTCCTAGGGGGGGCTTGTTCTCATGCAGCGGAAGCACACAAAACACATTTTCATGTAGTATTAAACTCTCAATCTTTTTTTCAAGAATTAAACCAGATCAAACAAATCTACATTGCCCAGAAAAGTATTGCTTTACATTGTTGCCCAACCACTTACAGTCATTATGTTTCTTAACAGCCGACCCCGACAGCCGATCCCTGAACTTCCTGCCCACAAGCAACAGAACACTCTGCAACAGCTGTCCATTTGTTACCTGCAGGACATTCCTGTGTAATATAATGTGTACTATATCTAATAGGTATGATATCAGTAGAAAAGGAGCGCTCTTATTCTAGGTACTTAATATTTTATTTCTATGATGGTATATGCCATAAAGGGGCTACAAAGGGGCTGCAGCTGCAAATTATTTATTGCAAATGACAGAAACTACAGCACATGGATTGTTTGTGTCTATATATGCACATTCAGTGATATGTGTTCCAGTTACATTAGCTTTAGGCCAATGATACTGGCTGATTATCTTTATACAATAAATTGTTTGAATATTAACTTCAAATATTCTGTCATAATCAAAGTGACTATTTATGAAATGAGGCTGATTTACAAAGGGAGCTGAGAATTTTCACACAAACATTGGATAATTGAAGTGTGAATATTCTCAATTCCTTCAGCTAATCAGTCTCATTTATTTATAACTCCTTTTAATAAATCAACCCAATAATCTCAGTAGTGTAGATGTTGATGTACTGTAGACGTAGTACATTACATACTCAGGTACCCATATCCTAATGTATATTTTCACTTTTGCAGCCAAATTTCTTTACATTTGTGACATGTTCCTATTCATGTAGCATAACTTAAAAACATTTTTAAAATGCTGTTTACATTTTTAGTGCTTTTTTATTGCTTAAGAGCTCTTGCACAGGGGCCCCAGTACCTATACATTGTAAATGCCGGTGTATTCCCACTGGCAGAGAGTCCCAGGTGCTGCATACAGCCTCACATTAAACTCAATGGCTGTAAGGACTTGTGGGCGAGCATACGTTGGCATTACATAAACCTGCTCATGTGCACATATGTAGAATTGTGCATGTAGAGTGGGTGCATCTGAGATTTTTTGTATGAAATATGCTGTCATTTACAGTGTATGGGAGCCGCCACCCATTTGCAAGAGCCCTTAACCATTTGCCTGTTTGAATATAAACGGATGTACAGCATGTGCTTGGATGCAGGTCACATACAGCATTTTTTTTCCTGGTCGCACAAGCCCCCTAGTGCACGCGTGAGCGGGGCACAGTAC